ACAATTCAGGGGAGCACTGGTGAGCAGCTCCGCTCTCCTGCCAGGCGGCTGTGTTGACTGAGCCAGAGGAGGCGTAACCAGGGCCGCACTGGAATGTGGAATGGGGGCGTGGCCTGCATGCTGCAAGCCCATTGGTCAGTGAGGAAGATGAAAGGGAGAGGGGGCGTGGCCAGGCAGCTCCGGAGACACCTGCGGCATCCCAAGGAAAGCGTCCCCGGTAACCCCCTGTCCCCGCCCACTCGGAGAGGGGAGGGGCCCCCCACTCCGGGAGAGGGGAGGGCCCGGCTTTTGCTTTTTCAACTTTTCAATCTACCAGAGCCTGCAGCCCAGTGTTTGGGGAGGCGACTGTATGGGGAGATGACAGTGTGGGAAACTATCCTGCCTAGGCCGAGGCCTCATGGAGCCCAGGGTTCCCTAGGGCCAGGAGAGCGCTGGAGCGCACGCTGACACCCATGGAAACCTGAAATCCACACCCGCAGGAGACGAGGAAGGGGCGTTGAGCCTCCAATGCACCTGCAGCCAGGTGAGACAGGCACAGGTGGGCGCCAAGCACGTCTCCTGCCTGACCGTCCTCTCCTGCCTCCCCCAAGCGGAGAAGTGCCAGCTGCCCATCAGCCCATTGGCTAGATTGAAGCCACTGAATCTGGGTCCCAACAGGCAGGTGTAACCCCTGACTGTCCCAGGCCCGGCCCAAGACAGTCATGGCTCTGGCAAGGACGTGGTAGACAGATGTGATGTTCCCAGTGGCTCTATAAACCTCTTGTTGAGGATCAAAGAAATGGGCAAGACCATCATGCTCAGCCGAGAATCTGTCAGGGCCAGACAGAAGTCAGTTTAGTTCCAGGCCTGGCCCTGGAAAGATGGTGGACTGGGGGCAGCCACGGTGAAGGTGAACGGAGAGACATGGGCGGCGTGGCCAAGGCTGTCAGCTCCTGCAGCACCTGCCGAACGTCCGCCCAGGCCTGGCTCTGCACTCAGGCTTCTGCCTGGAGCCACAGGTGCCTGGACAGTGGCCTCAAGTACGGATGGTGGTAGGAAAAGCACTTCTGGCCACATGTGGGCACCTAAGCATAACACAGAGGGGCATCATGCCCCAAAGAGATCATAGAGGCCAAGAACTCAAGCAGGGGAGAGAGATCCAAGATGGCTGATCACTAGCAGCTTGGGATTGTAGCTCCCATTGAAAACGCAAAGAACGAGAGGACGCCACAGCTTCACATGAATTCTTGTTGCTCACGCACCAGGAGATTCCCAGCGGAGGAGCCCCACGGGTCGCCAGCGCGACTCTTGTGACCGGCGAGGCGGTTTTGCCGGCGCCTCGGAGCGTCGGTTCTTGGTGCAGCATCAGAAAAGCACCATCAATCTTAACGCCGCTGATTTAGTCGGCGCAGTGGGTTGCTCAGATTTCGGCGCTGAGAATCAGTAAGTTGGACGTCCACTCAGAAACCCAATTACAAAGACGGTAATTATAAAGACCACAGATGGATAAATCTACAACGAAGGGAAGAAAACAGTCAAAAAAGGCTGAGAATACCCAAGATCAGAACGCCTCTCCCTCAGCAGGGGATCATAGTTCCTCATCAGCAACGGAACAAGCCTTGATGGAGAACGAGTGTGTTCCAATTACAGAAGCAGGCTTCAAAAGGTGGATAATGAGAAACTTCTGTGAATTAAAAGAACTTGTTCTAACACAATCCAGAGAAACTAAGAACTTTGAAAAAAGGTTTGACGAAATGTCAACAAGAATACAAAATTTAGAGAGGAAAATAAGTGAATTGATGGAACTGAAAAACACAATACGAGAACTACGTGAAGTATGCACAATTTTTAACAGCCGAATTGATCAAGCAGAAGAAAGGATATCAGAGGTCGAAGACCAACTCAATGAAATAAAACGAGAAGACAAGATTAGAGAAAAAAGGATAAAAGGGAACGAGCAAAATCTCCAAGAAATACGGGACTATGTGAAAAGACCTAATCTACGCTTGATAGGTGTACCTGAATGTGACGAAGAGAATGAATCCAAGCTGGAAAATATGCTTCAGGACATTATTCAGGAAAATTTTCCCAACTTAGTAAGGCAGGATAATACTCAACTCCAGATGGGAGCCCCCTGAGGGAAAAGTTCCTTTGGTGAGAGGAAGAAGGCCATCTGGCCTCCTCCAAACCAACCAACTCCAGCAGCCTCTGGCTCTTCAATAACAATCATCATCACCCAGAGATTTGAGGACTCAGCCCTGGTCAAGGTGGCAAAGGGTCTGTTTGTCTCCCCCCATTAGACAGGGGTCTTGTCTTGCTACCCTAATAATAAAGGGGTGACTGGGAAGGGGTGGGAGGGACATGGTGGGGGCGGAGACTCCAGCCCCCCTTCTCCAGGCCTTGCTGACACGGGCCTGCTTTTATTTATTTTTATATTGATCCCTTGATTTTTCAAAAAATCTCATAATTTCCCTTTCATAAATTTGATACTTTTCATAAAATTTTTCTACTTTTTATCCACAACGTTTTTTGCCACAATTTTTCCACATTTTTTTATCCCATAACTTTTTTATCCCATAACTGTTATTAGTTTGTGTTCTTTTAACAAACACACGTGCATAGCTATATTACAATTTCACAAAAATAAAAACACAGTATCTCATGCCAAGTATGCCCAGCATTGGCAGAGTCTCAATATCTTTAATACTATAGTTGTCAAGACGCACAAAATTTTAAGGCAAAAACAGCGCTTTGCAGCAATTGAATAATTTATTACATTACAGGAGCGTCACAGCAGCAGTCAATAATGCTGCTTTACACAAAAGGCTCAGGATTTCCATCTTACATTCTGTTCACAAGAGTTCATACATTGGTAAAAGTCATTCTTAGAAAACTTGGCCACTAATGCTTTGGACTGGAATTGGCATTTCTTTCCCTACTTTTCCTTCCCCTGGTTTCTTTTAAACTATGACATTCATATTTTAAAATGTTTTAAGTAATTTAAAAACATTAAGATAGCAGTTACATGTTTTAATAGTTATTTTTAAATGGCTCTTTAAGATAAAGTTTTGGAGCAGCTATATTATGGGTAGGATAGGACTGATTTACATTTTCAAATTTTCTTAAAATCAGCTTTGGTTTCAGAACTGATTTTTATTCATTTCTGAAAAATCTATCAGGTTTGACAAAATCCTTTAAAATGATTATCATATATCGCAATCTTTAAATAGGTATTTTGATTCTTCCTACAGAAATTCAAATTTATTCAGTTGAACCCACATTTGAAAACTCTATTTTTTTTGTAATGACCTCTGAACAGAGAGACGCTGCCATTGAGCAGGCCTCTGGTATAGCAAACATGGTCCATTCAGGAGCTGTGAATATAGCTCTAGGTGAGCCCCTGAATCCGTTCATGGTAGATTATGCTAAATAGTGAGATGTTGCTGGAGGTGTGGATGAGGACGTTTGTTGTTGCAATCCTTCTTTGCACCTTATTTTAAAGAAAATATGAAACATTTTTCTGGTTGCATTTTTAAATCTTTAAAATGGAGGGGAAGAATAGGGCAGGGCATTGTTATGTTCCTTCTGACCCTTCAGTGTTATAAATTCAACATATAGACTGACAACCGAAATCAATGGTGGAACACGGTTCTTTTCCTTTTTTTTTTTTTTTTTTTTTTTTTTGTATCTGTTCAATGAAAATAAGAACGTACAACCCAAGTTTTGTACTCTGACTAGAGGGATTGCTCTTCAAGGTCTGAAAGTAGGACTTTTACCTTAAAAACAACAACAAACAAAAACTATCGCACAGGATGGATAAGATTCTTAAACAGTTTTGTGTGGATCTTGTTGGTGCTGAACTACAGCATAGCCTTATAGATTGTAAAATAGAGATAGTTGGAGCTAAAGTACAGAATGAAAATTTTTTAAACTTTATTTGCTGTTAAATTCTGTGAAGTTTCAGTTATCTAAAATAAACATACACAAATATGAAAAAAATAAAATTCTGTGTTTTTGATGAATGCTAACCTTCTGATGTTGCCTTCTAAGCAAATTGAAAGCTGCCTTCTACTGAATGAGGCAGAGAACAGATACTTGGCTGAATGAAGTACTGCAAAAGACTCGCATGCACTTTGAAGAAAGACTTAAGTCACTGTCATATAATTTCCATTCTTTTTACATTTTTCTTAAATATATGACAAAATGCCTACACAGAGTGATATTTCGGTTACTATAGTAAATGTATTTTCCAGACTGACATTCAGCTAAATATGTCTGTATGTGATTTACTCCATAGGTACCTGATGAACACATTCTTGTCAGATTGGGTACAGATGCTAAACACTATGTCAAGGTCATTGCTAGTCATTTATATTTCTTAGGGTAAAAGTGAAGTGATTTGAACTATCAAACTAATTTATCAATGTATCAGATAAACCCAGTTTCAGAATGATTAAGAAAAACTGTTCGGCCAAATAATGTGGCTGATCGACAGTGGTACGATTTCTAGCCTGGGGGTTTAAAATGGACTTAAAGTTCTGTTTTGTGTTTTATTTCTGAACTTGCCGCTTTTGCATTCTTTGAGTTTTTTTTCCAATTGAGACAGAGCCTCACTCTGTTGCCCAGGCTGGAGTGCAGTGGTACGATCTCGGCTCACTGCAACCTCTGCCTCCCAGGCTCAAGCGATTCTTTTGTCTCGGCCTCCCAAGTAGCTTGGATTGCAGGCGGCTGCTACTATGCCCGGTGAATTTTTTTTGTATTTTTAGTAGAGATGGGGTTTCACCATGTTGGTCAGGCTGGTTTCGAACTCCTGACCTTAAGTGATCCAGCCACGCTGGCCTCTCAAAGTGCTGGGATTACAGGCGTGAGCCACTGCAGCCAGTTGAAATCTCATTTCAATCCCTGTGAATCTGAGCTGGACTTTACTTGCTTTCACCAGTAACGTCCAGAAGGGATGCTCTGTGATGCTCACAGCCGAGACAAAGGTGATGCAGCTTCTGCCTCGTTCCTGGGGATAGTTGCCTCTGTGGGATTGAGCTACCGTGTAAGAAGATAACCAGTCGGAGGCCACCATGCTGGAAGAAACCAAAGCCACATGAAGAGTAAGTAAGCTGATTGCTTTAGCAAAATACTCCATACTGATAGTGACTGTCCACTTCTTGCTTTTGTGAATGCAAGCTGTTTTTGCAATAGTCTCACACTGAGTGCCAAAAACTATTGTTTTGGTTGAATGCATTCTCTTGATCCTTCACTACCTGGTCCTAGGAATTTGTTAAATGCTCCTCATTTCTGTTGCAATATAGTCTGCAGTGACCTTGATCATCTTGACATGCTATAGAACATCATCCATTATATTAATGACAGAATAATAATTGGACTTGGTTTTTAGGACAGAGCAAGTATGCTGCTTTGAAATACTTCACGCTGAAGGATGAGAGCTGAGCCCTACAGAGTTCTGGAAGCCTGCCATGTGAGGGAATGTTTTAGAGGCCCAAAGATCTAGGAGTACATTGAGACATCCTAGCAAAGGGATGTTTTGCATTTCCTACCACTAAGAGAGAGGGACAGCAGGGACAGCACTCAGTGGGCTGCCTGGAACTCTTGAGGCAAAATAAAAAATAAAAAAATACTACCCTTGAGAATAATGTTCTGGTCCATGGTACCAGAAGACTACTGACTTTGAGGAGGTCGGAGGAAGTATGTGAATATCCTTTTGAAGACTTAACAGGGGCCGGCGCGGTGGCTGATGCCTATAATCCTAGCACTTTGGGAGGCTGAAGTAGACGGATCACCAGAGGTCAGGAGTTCGAGACCAGCCTGCCCAACATGGCGAAACCCCATCTCTACTAAAAATACAAAATTAGCCAGGTGTGGTGGCGCATGCCTGTAATCCCAGCTTCTCAGGAGGCTGAGGCAGGAGAATCACTTGAACCCAGTAGGCAGAGTTTGCATGGAGCCAAGAATGCGTTACTGCACTCCAGCCTGGGCAACAAGAATGAAACTCTGTCTCAAAAAAAAAAGGGGGTGCTTAGCAAGGCATAAGCTTAGGAATGACACCTTGCATGGCTGGGTCATTGTCCTTGAGGATGCAGTATGTTTGTTCAACCAATGATCACTATATAAAATCCCTGTGCTGTTTCCCCAGCATCTGGAATACACAGAATGGTCATTAAAGCATGCAAGTAAGGTTGACTTAAACACACTCCCTTTGAGCCATTAGTGGCGATTATGTTTTTAATTCTCATAACTTCAGATTACCAGCCTTGGTCTCAGGGTGTGTGTACAGAGGGAGACAGTCTGTGTTCCACTGCATCAGTGCGGTGTCACCTGAGGACATGGGCATCTCCATGCTGCCAGATCAGAGGCCAAAATGGGAATTATTACACTGACGGGGATAACTGACTTGATGAAGAGTTGGACTTGCTGCCACATAATGGGCCCCAAACGGAGATGTCTGGAACTTGGGGGAGTCACTCGGGCACCCCTTCGTGTTTCTGTGCCTGGTAATAATAGCGGAGAAGCAACTGAGGCACCCGTGGCCTGACGAGGGCAAGGTAATCAGGGCTCAGCCTCTCAGAGATGAAGGTCTGGCCATTCACTGAGCAAGCGACGGTGACTAGCTGAAGGGCTGGCCAAGGACGGGGAAACCGAGACGAGGCAGTAGAGGAGAGGGGTCGTGGGTACAGATCACGGCCTTGAGACCAGCTGCGGCAGTGAAGACGGTGGCGTGTTCCACACACCCTTCTATTTTCAGTCATTTTGGAAGATTGCAGCCAGCTACAACCCCGAAATGTCAGTAAGAGAGCAAACGCCGGGTGGGCATGAGAGGATCTGCTGAGAGCAAGGAGTGGACGTGGCAGTCACTATTACTGATGCCCAGCCCACGGCCCAGCGGTTAGTTCTGAGCCCGCAGCGGGAGTAGCCTGGAAGTGCTGAGGCCGTGGCGTCTCCAAGGTCAGCCTTGAATCAGTGAGTTTCAAGAGTCAGAATACACGTGCTCCCACCTTCCCATCCCTCGGTGAATTCCTTCTGAGACCTGCTCTGTATGGCTTCTCAGAGGTTCCCCAGTGGAAGTGAGCCCCAGTTGCTTAGGAAAATACAATCTACTAATTAAGGCAGCTGTACAATTCCTAAGCCCCAGTTGCTTAGGAAAATACAATCTACTAATTAAGGCAGCTTTTCCCTTTCTTTCCCTCCCTCTCCTCACTCTGTCCCATGACGTTCCTGGGATCTCCACATAAATCATCTGTAATCAAATCTTTATCTGTCTGCATTTTGGGGAACCCAAAGAAAGACGTAAGTTTTTATCACGTTTGCCTATCTACGTTTATTTCTTATTTGCTACAAATATTATTAGTAATTTTCTTGACGAAAGTAATATGCTATCAGTTGATAGGCTTAAGAAATATATATTTATAGTGACACCTTCCATAAAATGGTGAAACCAATTTTAAAAAGTTATTTTCACTAGTTTATGAAAAATGAAGAAATTGAATTTTGAAAAACCGCAGCAAAACATCTGAACACCGTATAAAGAGGAATATTTCCATAACTGTAGAAATGGCTGGCAGGGCTATCAGCTATCCAGGGATTATTTCGAAATCTCAGTCATTGGCCAACTACTATGATCAATGAAATCAACATTTTCATGATGTAGACAAAAAAATGCATCATGAGTCAATTTTTTTCTTTTTTTGTTTTGAGGCAGGGTATTGCTCTTTCCCAGGCTAGAGTGCAGTGGCGTGATCTTAGCTCACTGCAAACTCTGCCTTCTGGTTGTGGCAACTCTCCTGCCTCAGCCTCCTGAGTAGCTGGGATTACAGGCATCCGCCACTGTGCCTTGCTGATTTTTTTTTTTTTTTTTTTTTTTTTTTTTTGAGATGGAGTCTTGCTCTGTCACCAGGCTGGAGTGCAATGGTCCAGTCTCAGCTCACTGCAACCTCCACCGCCTGGGTTCAAGCGATTCTTCCGCCTCAGCCTCCTGAGTAGCTGGGATTACAGGCATCCACCACTGTACCTTGCTGATTTTTTTTTTTTTTTTTTTTTTTTTTTTTGAGACGGAGTCTTGCTCTGTTGCCAGGCTGGAGTGCAGTGGTCCAGTCTCAAGCTCACTGCAACCTCCACCGCCTGGGTTCAAGCGATTCTTCCACCTCAGCCTCCCGAGTAGCTGGGACCACAGGCACATGCCACCATGTCCAGCTAATTTCTGTATTTTTAGTAGAGATGGGGTTTCACCATGTTGGCCAGGCTGGTCTTGAACTCCTGACCTTGTGATCCACCCGCCTCGGCCTCTCAAAGTTCTAGGATTACAGGTGTGAACCACGGTGCCTGGCCAATAAGTCAGATTTAATGGGTGTATGTTTTTCCTTTAAAAGTTGTTTTAGTATCTAGGTTACTCAGCCCTTTATTTTTCATTTTATAGCACATTTTTTATATATACAAATACACATACACATACACATTAGCATTCAGACTTACATGCACACATCTTTTGGTATTTTAAATATTTTCAAAGTGTAGCTGTATATACTCATGCTTTCTTTCTTTCTTTCTTTCTTTCTTTTTTTTTTTTTTGATGGAGTTTTGCTGTGTCATCCAGGCTGGAGTGCAATGGCGAGATCCCGGCTCACTGCAACATCCACCTTCAGATTCAAGCAATTCTCCTGCCTCAGCCTCCAGAGCAGCTGGGATTACAGGCACGTGCCACCACCCCCGGCTAATTCTGTATTTTTAGTAGAGACGGGGTTTCTCCATGTTGGTCATGCTGTTCTCAAACTCCCAAACTCAGGTGATCCGCCCACCTTGGCCTCCCAAAGTATCAGGTTAACAGGCATGATCCACGGTGTCAGGCCCAGTAAAAACTTTTCTATTTTCAGCTGGTGTGGAGGCATGTGTCTAAGTCCCAGCTACTTGGGAGGATCATTTGAGCCCAGGAGGCTGAGGCTGCTATGAGCCATGATCACATCACTGCACTCCAGCCTGGGTGACAAAACGCAACCCTGTCTCAAAAAAAAACAAAAAACAAAAAACAAAATTATTTGTAAAAAGGATGAAAGGGTTCTTAATTTCATCATTCACGTAATTTCTTAATCCTTGGTACTACCACGCCCTTCTGGAGAAAGCTAAGGACCCAGGGGTGATCCCGCTAGGGAAGGCCTTACCTCTTTACAGAGAGGAGTCCGTCCAGTACACTTGGGCTGCTGGTAACTCTTTGGTAGGGCTCGATAGCTGGAGTCCAGTCGTTTACAAGAGGCGTAATCTATCTCCATGGCAATGCCCTCTGTGGCTCGCTCCTTTGGAAAAGTTTCCAGATGTACAGACTCCTTATAGCCCAGAAAGTTTTTAAACCAATTAAACAACTCAGGGAATTTCCTGAAGAATCAAAGCAATAAGCGACAAGCAATCAGAGGCATGATACAGTTATCCTGAGGTGTGACCACCACCATCTGGTTTCAGATCAGAAACCTGCTACCAGGGACAAATTCTTTCCTGCCTAAGAAGCACTGCTTCTGAGCATCTGGTTTCCCCTTTTTCTAATAAAATGCTCTCAGATCAGTTAAAAGTGGTGATAAAACAGTTTTACTGAAACCAGGCAAAATAACAAGCCATTCTTTTGATCAAAAATATTGCTTTAATGTTCACATAATTCTTAGGTTGTCAAATACAGAAAAGGTTCTGGAACTCTGGGAGAGAAAAGGCTGAGTGTGGTGGCTCAGGCGTGTAATCCCAGCACCGTGGGAGGCCGAGGCAGCCAAAGCACCTGAGGTCACAAGTTTGAGACCAGCCTAACCAACATGGAGAAACCCCGCCTCTACTAAAAATAGAAAATTAGCTGAGCATGGTGGTGCATGCCTTTAATCCCAGCTACTCAACAGGCTGAGGCAGAAGAATTGCTAGAACCCAGGAAGCAGAGGTGGCAGTGAACCGAGATCGCACCATTGCACTCCAGCCCGGGCAACAAGAGTGACTGTCGATCTAAAAAAAAAAAAAAAAAAGATTCCAGAACTCTGGGAGAGATTTTTCTCGATAAACATCCAGCACTGGTCAGAAGATCGGGAGGCCACCAGTCTTAGACATTAGTCAATAAACACTTACTGCCCTCACTCTCTTCTCACCCTAGAGTTGGACTAGAAGACTTCTCAGGACTCTTTTGACACTAACATTTGAGTCAACTGACCTGTCTCTAGTAAATTAACTGTCTGTCACCCACTCTCACAAATCAAATACTACCGGGCCTCCACAACACGCATCAGAGCTGAGCCCCTCACTTCACGTACCCCAGGAAAGGAGAGACTAGCTGCACAAGAGGCTGAGTTGGGAGGATTGCTTCAAGCCGTTCCCACACCACTGCATACCAGCCTGAGTAACAGAGTGAGTCCTAATGTAAAAGAAAGAAGGGAGGAAGGGAGGGAGGGAAGAAAGAATAAAGGGCTGGTCACAGTGGCTCACACCTGTAACCCAGCAGTTTGGGAGGCCGAAGTGGGCAGATCACTTGAGTAAAGGAGTTCGAGACCAGACGGGGAATATGGCAAAACCACATCTCTATGAAAAATATAAAAATGTAGCCAGGTGTGGTGGTGTGCACCTGTGGTCCCAGCTATTCAAGAGGCTGAAGTGAAAGGATCGCTTGAGCCCAGGAGACTGAGGCTGCAGAGAGACGTGATCACGTCACTGAACTCCAGCCTGGGTAACACAACGAGACCTAATCTCAGTAAAAACACAAAAAAGAAGAAAACATGGCTGCACACAGTGGCTAACTGCCTGTAACATGGCACTTTTGAAGGTTGAGGTGGCCAGATCACCTCATTTCAGGAGTTCAAGACCAGACTGGTCAACATGGCAAAACCCAAGTCTACCAAAAATACAAATAGTTAGCCAGGCATGGTGGGGTGCAGCTGTGGTCCCAGCTGTTCAAGAGACTGAGGTGGGAGGATCGGTTTAGCCCAGGAGGTTGAGGCTGTAACAAGCTGGGGAAATGACACTGCACTCCAGCCTAAGCAACAGAGAGACCCAATGTCAATAAATAGTTAAGAAAAGGGGGCTCATGCCTATCAGCACTTTGGGAGGCCGAGGTGAGCACATGACTTGAGATCAGGAATTTGAGACCAGACTGGGCAACACAGCCAAACCCCAACTATATTAAAAAAAAAAATTAGCCAGGCGTGGTGGTCTGCTCCTGTGGTCTAAGGTATTCAAGAGGCTGAGGTAAGACGATCATTTCTGCCCAGGAAGGTTAGGCTGCAGCAAGCTGTGGTCAAGCGGCTGCACTCCAGCCTGGGTAACAGAGCAAGACCTAATCTCAAAAAAGGGAAAAAGGGCTGGGCACAGTGGCTCACAGTGATATCCCAGCATTTCGGGTGGCTGAGGTGGGCAGATAACTTGAGTTCATGGGTTCAAGGCCAGAACGGGCAACATGGCAAAACCTCATCTCTACCAAAAATACAAAAAATTAGCCCGTTGGTGATATGCACCTGTGTTTTCAGCTACCCAAGAGGCTGAGGTGGGAGGATCGTTCAGCCGCAAGGTGGATGCAGCTCGCCGGGACCGAGCCGTACACTCCAGCCTGGGTAACAGAACGAGACCTTACCTCAAAGGGTAAAAAAAGGAAAGGAAGAAAAAAGGGCTGGGCACAACGGCTCAGGCTTGCAAGCTGACCTGGGAGGTGCGCTTGTGCCCGGGAGTTTCAGGCTGCAGCCAGGCGTGACTACAGCATTGCACTCCAACCTGGGTAACAGAGCAAATTCAAAAAAAACCACGGGGCACAACGGTTCAGGCCTGCAATCCAGCATTTGGAAAGGCTGAGGTCTTGACTCTCCCTCCAGCCTCAGCCCAGGCTGGCGGGATCGTCCTGAGGCGGAGGCTGCCGGGACCCTGCGGCCAGATCGCCCCTGCTCCGGAACCTCCCGCCGGTCTGCGGGCGGTGGTGTGGGGCTGGTTGGGTGCATGGGCTTTCCTGAGTGCACATGTGTGCTGGGGCCCAAGCGAGGGAAGAGTGCAGTTCTGGAATGGCGTGTGTGCAGACGTGGGCCAGGCACGGACGTGCAGGCACGGGTTTGCATGCGTGGCGGCGGCCTGTGTGTCAGCCTGCTGGATGCACGTGCATCTCAGCGCTGCCGGGAGGGGCTTGGGGACACCCGAAAGCCCGCCAGGTCGGGTGCCGCTGCAGCCTCAAAGCCGAGTTGGCTGTGGGCCCAGGCACCAGAGTCATGCTCAGGGCGGGTAGGGGAAAGGGGGTAGAGACCGATCCGTTCACCTTCCCCTCCACTGGAGACTTTGGGCTGCCCCTGGTTGGGTTATAGCGTCTGGAGAGCCCCGAGCCTCAGGTAGGGAAGGTGGGAGGTGGAAGAACACTCGCAGAGGCCCAATCCAGCCCTCTGCGAGCATCCAGATGCCGGCCACAATTGGGCAGAATCGAGCTCTTCCTGGTCTTTCCCATCGGCCATCCCGAGGTCCCTGGAAGGTGAAAGTGGGAATGGAGACACAGAACTGTTACTTTCCCACTGCCTAAGGCAGGGGTGGTGCTGCGGTGGTGGGCTCTTCTCCGAGACCCTGGCCTGGGTGCTGAGTGAGGTTGGAGCTTGGCAGGGAGGATCAACAGAACTGCTTCTCCAGGATGACCTGAGCCTGCTTCCTGGGCACATGCCCTGTCTGAGAACCTGGTTGCCTCAGTATGGGTCAGGGAAGGAGGCACCTACATTTTGGCAACTGTTTTGAATGGAGGAGCAGCCTCCCTTGAGGGAGTGTATCCTGGGCTCTCCACCTCCTACTGGCAGGAGAAAGGTCACTCCCTACACCCCTAAGAGTTCTCTGTGGGCTCCATGTAGCCCCCACCCCTCCCACAAAGACTCCCGAGGGTCCCAGGCCTCCTGTCTACTGGCTGGGTCCCAGGTCGGGGCCTCAGGAAGTCTCCAGTGCAAAGGGTATTGCATGGGCTGAGGCCCAGGAGAGAAGGACTCCTGAGGTTGGGAATGGGGACCCAGCAGGCCCCAAGGAGCATGTGGGGAGGCCAGACCAAAGTCAGCACTTAATTAACACAGTGTCCGAAGGGTGGGGTGGGGAGTATCCACACCCCAAAACCCTACAATTCCTTCTCACAGCATTGCTGTGGAGTGAGAAGGGGGCTTTCACCCTCATAGGGGGCTCTGTCCACCAAGGCCCCTGACTGCCAGGAAACCCACACCCACAGTTCCCCAGGCCTCTGACTGCCAGGGAAGCCACACCCACAGTTCCCTTCTTTCTGAATGCTGGCCATTCCACAGCCTGGATGCTTGAACCTGGGCAGAGGGGTAACGACCCCAGGAGTGTCTTCGCAAGCAGAGAGGCTACTTGCCACCAGGCTCTGACTCCTTGGGCTGAGCTCAGCATCAGGCATGTCATCAATGCCCCCTGGACAGAAGAGGCTCAGCCCTGAGGACCCAGCACTCCCCACACCTGCATGTCCCTGCTGGGCATCCACTCTGGGGACTCAGCTTTCCCCTGCCCCCAGCTGCTGGCAGCCCCATCTTGCCTCATCCGGGGTCCCTGAGGCCACACCAGGAAGCAGCGGGCAGCTGGGAGGAGCACCTGCTGTTTCTGCATCTTTTTTGTTATTATTATCTTTTTTATATTTTTGAGGACAGAGTCTCACTCTGTCACCCAGGCTGGAGGGCAATGGCGTGCTGTCGGCTCACCACAACCTCTGCCTCCCAGGTTCAAGCAATTCTCCTGCGTCAGCCTCGCAAGTAGCTGGGATTACAGGTGCATGCCACCAGGCCTGGCTAATTTTTGTATTTTTAAGTAGAGAAGGGGTTTCACCTTGTTGGTCAAGCTGGTCTCGAACCTGTGACCTCGTGATCTGCCCACCTCAGCCTCCCAAAGTGCTGGCTTAAAGGCGTGAGCCACCCAGATCAGCTGTTTCTGCATCTTTTTTTTCTGGAGCTCACTTGGGTGGGAGGGGCTACAGACTCCAGGGAGCCTCAGGCCACGCCCCCTGCACCCTGGCTGAGTGAGCTTTCTTCTCAGTCTGACTGGAGGCTGGGACCCACCTGTCACAGAAGCAGGTCTGAGTAGTCCAGGCCCGTTCCTACTCTCCAGCAGGGCCCCTCCTGTTCATTTGTGCAGCTGTCTTTGCCCAAAGCACAGGTGAAGTCTGTGTGGATTGTATCCCTTGTCCCCAAGGGGAGTGTGGCTCCAGTCTTGGCCTGGAACTCAGATGCCTTAGAATTAGAGGTCACATCTGGCAGGGAGGAGCTGCGTGGTCTGCCCACGGCCAGGGTAGGTACCACGTTGGCAGCCCCAGACCTGACACCATGGCTCCCGTGTCCCCACTCCACTTCCATCCAGCGCATCACCTACACTACGTGCTGCCCCTGATGAATCTGGACTGTCAGCTTCCCTAGCTCAGCTGGGAAGTCCTGCCGACCCTAAGGAGAACAGTGCCTCCTGAGTCGGGACTATGTGGGAATGGGCCCGGTGTGGGGTGGGGGAGGTCGGGGTGAAGCAGGTGTTCAGCGCTGCTCTGCTTATCTTCCTTCTCCTTTGCCCACAAAGGAGGCATCTTCTCCATGTCCCTCTGCCACCCTGAGGACATAAAATACTTCCCCAGGTCTGCCTTCCCTTGGACACGGCCCACCTACCTTCCTGTGGGACTCAGGTCTTTGTTTTGTCCTGTGGCCCACATGAGAAGCAATTATCCCTACTCTGCTCAGCTGAGGGGGTAAACTGAGGCAGAGCAGTGGAACAACTCTGTCGTAGTCTGGATGTTAATGGCAGAGTCAAGAGCATCCCTTTTCCGAGTGGTCAGGTCCAGTGGACACCAAGCGTGGAGGCTGTATCAGTCCATCTTGCATTGCTCCAGAGGAATACCTGAGACTAGGTCATTTATTTATTTATTTCAAGGGATTGGCAAGGCCACTAGGCTGCGGGTTGGAGCCCCGTCTCCTAATCCCAGCCTGGGTCTCCATCACTGGCTAGCCTGCTCTGCTCACTGCGTTCTCTCCACACCTGCCTCCTGCAGCCCAGGGGTCAGTCTGGGTGCAGGCCTGGGAAAGGTCCAGGAGCAGATTCTGCCCCCAGCTCATGCCTCCTGTGCACCAAGGCAGCCAAAATGCAGCAGCAGAACCAGGAGCGCTGGCTTGTCCCTGTATCCCAGTGTCTTGGGAGGCTGAGATGGAAAGATCACTTGAGACCAGGCTGCACAACATAGCAAGACCCTGTCTCTACAAAAAATAAAATTAGGCATGGTGGCATGTGCCTGTAGTCCCAGCTACTCAGGAGGCTGAGGTGGGAGGACCGCATGAACCCAGGAGGTCAAGGATGTGGTGAGCTATGA